ACAACCGCTATCAATATAATGAAAGTGTTGACCTTTTTTAGCTGCTGCAATTGGTTTTTTATCTGGAAATATCACTGTTGCTCAGCTGGCTCGAACAGTAAGACGGAAATCAACAGCAAACATTTACTAATAGCGATTGGAAGGGGACTGCAAATATCACAAAAAATATAAGTGGTACATAAAAAAGAAAAAAATTGAAATAAACAGTGCGGAAAAGAAATGAAGGGAACGAGTCACTAGCGATGAGCATAGTCAAAAAAACAGGCAGAAAAGATCGTGATTTCTTTGCTGCCACAACCGTAGACTGCTGAGCTGATTTAAGGTTATAGATTATATAAACTCGATGTTAGCGTATGGTTTTAACAAGGAATTTAATAAAAAAAAAGAATACGGAACTACAGACTAAAAAAACCCCAAAACTTCTGTTGAAGATAAGTTTAAAATCGAAAGAAGCAAAAAATAGAAGATAAAAAAAATTGTAAAAAATTATAATCTTGTAATTTCAAAGTGCCCTCCATTTTTGCAAGGTAACATCAAAACGGGTTTAAGCTGTGCCTGCTGTACAGCCAGTAATTGTCGTACCCCAGCTACACAAAAGTCAGACATACCTGAGCTGCCACAAATGTAGCTAGAAAAACCCTTCAGCAGCAAAACGAAATGCTAACCGACTAAATAAAAGTATGGGAAAGAAAAAAAGAACTACATGCGTGCGCAAAATTACCATAAGAACGGCCACCAACAAGCTGTGATCCAGCCACAGTCACCCTGTTCAATCTGGTTTGTAAGCGACTAGCTTATTCAGTACACGTCTCTACCTCGGTGTTTTCCCCCTTTCTTGCATCTCATTTGGTTTCGCTACTCGTACTTCTTTTTCAATTCCATTTCGATTAGACCTCTTTTACACTTATCTCATCGCTTGTACTTTTTATTTTATTTGCAACTCCTCTTATCACAGACAACCAGTATTATCCACTATTACTCCTTTTTCATCACTCGAGCCATCTGAATCCGGTCAGAGCTCAAATGCACATCTAATTCTCATAAGTACCGCGACCTCAAGAGCGCCAGTGAAAAAATTTGAAATGCCTAAACTGTTTAGAGCAGTGAATGGAAATAAGACGAGGTTCTGCCAAATGAATGATTGTCTTCCATTCTCAAGCAGCCAACCTTCAATCCCCGATGCAGTCCAACGACTAATTTAATTAATTTCTGGGGAAACTTCGGAAGCTCACTAGAAAAAAAGCTCCCCTCTCGTAGATAGGCGAAGCAACTCTACAAGGCCACGAGAGAAGCCTGAAGCTCTTCCCCCCACGTCAGTAAGGGAGTTATTGGAAAAAGCAAAACGACCTCCTTCTAATTCGCAAGAGACGAACTCCTATAAAGCCTCAAGCTTCAGTTAACCTGTTTCAAAATATTAGCAAATACATCTCTTTGGTACAAGACAAAAGTGACCAACACACTGAGCTAATTTTTAAAGCTGTAAGTAAAGGTACTCGTCTGCAAAATCACGTGGACCCTCATTGAGTAATCGGTTTCTATCACGAGGACAAACCATTGCTCGGCTGATTCCATAGAAGTACCGTGGTTTCAAACTTTTACTGGTGAAACGCCAACCAATGAAATTTCGGCAGCAAGCGCAGTTGTGGATCGTCCACTCATACCTAAATTATATTTTAAAGTAAGCCAATGTTAAAATAGCTTTAAGCTTAAATTAATGTAGGGTTCAAAGGGAGTGACCACAAGACAATACAGAGGACAGAGCAACAATACTGTGTACAAAAAATTAAAAAATTTGTACGGTGCAATGTTTAAAGAGAATATGAAGTTAAAACAAGAAGTTGTCTCATACCCTGGGAACCATGAGAATTCTGCAGATGGATTTCCTTGTGGTGTAGTAGAATTCAGTTTTGATACAGTAAACATGTCATGAACATACCCGCCTAAAAATGCAATGGATAATAACTAGTGTAGGCTTCAAGCAAGCGAAAGGCAAGTCATACTTGGATTGACGTAGAGTGCACTGTTGCCTTCTGTAGAAATACTAATTATGTCCGACAAACTGCAGAGAAATGTACCACACCTTTTGCAAACGATTCGATTAATCTGAAGGACAAAAATTTTAAAAGCAGTCTTAAAATATAAAAATGAAAACACAGAAATGTTTTAAAAAAAAATACTTTTCGCAAATGAAGGCACTCGTTTATTATTCTTCTATCAGTGCAAGACTCTTCCAGTAAAGCAAGCCTTATTACTGTGTCTACCGGAATGTTGGCGGCCACCCAGAAACTGAATGATGTGAGCCCCTTAACAGTATCTAAGTTTGATAGACCATGAAAAAGGTACAATTTCATGAGTACATCAGCGATATTTTGAGCAATTAAAGTAATGAACTGAAGAAGTACTTCGGATAAATTTGCATCGATTTTATCATTTGGAAACCAAGAAGACAACCAAGATAGAATCTGCTGCACATATCTTTTCTAAAAAGAATGACAATTTGAATAACACAGATAGGAAAAGAGTTTGAAGAGGTCTGCTTTAAAGCTTTAAATAAAACAAGTCATGTAAAAACTGGAAGCAATCAAGAGAAATTGTCTACCACTAGCCAACAGTTAAAAAAATTGCTTTTCCAAAAATGGATAACTACTCTTGGAATTTGTTAAAGGAAACCGAACCGTTGCCGCCTGTTCAACTACGGACGGGTGATGCGCTGTTAAATTAGAGTAAACAGTAAGCCTCTAAACATGAAAAATTGTAAGATACTCGTTGCAAGTATGTGACAACAGAAACCCCCTTAGTACAAGTCCGTAAAAAATTATTTATTAAAATAATCAAAGACTACAGTAACTCTAGAAACCCTGAGTTCTCTCACTGGCATCTGGGAACTTAAATAAATTATGACTAAAAACGAATAAGTAGTAAGCAAACTTTTGGCATTCTCATTCTGGCAAGAGAACGTGAGACGTCATACGGAATGAAGGGCCGTAATTCTCTATCATCTAGTACTTCTACTTCACCGTACCGCATCCTACAAAAAAATATCTGCAAGAAGGTACTGCGATCTTACTTGCGAAAGTTACTGAATGATCGACAAGGTACCCGTTAATTGCAGAATGCTCTTCACGTATTTTACACCTCTGCCTTCCTAGAGCATGTATAGACACCCCCTCGTTGTCGATAGCAGATACCTAAACAAACTTTTTTATTGGATCACAGTTGCCTCTGTAAAGGTTTGGGATAACACTCGAAAAAATAAAAATAAAAATAAACAAAAAAAAAACTAGGGGCTTATGGTAAAAGCGATATTACAGCAGTAAAATAATGTTACCGTGTTTTACTGCAGTTACCTAGAGGCACAAAAGAAATGTCATTCGGTAAATGTCCAATAAAATCAAACAAAACAAAGAGCTCAAAAAAAAAAAAAAAATTTACGTCAGTGAAATCCTGTGAAGAGACTTCTGAAAAAACAATAAGTTACCTGAACAACTTGTATTAGGGTTGCAATGTCGCGCGAGTTCGCAACAAAATCTGGTTTCAGTGCAATCAGTGTGCCTTTTGATGATGCTTCCACAAGTTGCCTCACTGTCATATTGTCTGCCGCGTGAAAAGGCAATAACTGGTTTGGGAACATAACAACATGCAACTTAATTATAGAAACTGATATAACTGTATTTGCTTCCAAAGGCTTGTAATCGAAAAGTTTATCATCGGCACCTATTAAAAAAACGTTACGTGG